TAAACAGATCATTATCCTTACACCACACAGACAGGGAAGGAAGGACACACAAGTATCACAAGGTCGTATCATGCGTAATTAGGTTAAGTGCCCCAATACCTCGGCCACTTACGCGAGAGGGCGCGGTTCCAGGTGCGCCAAGACTAAGGCAGAGAAAAGCCACCTGCTTCGCCCACCTGTACATACAACATAAAAACATCACGTATTTCCAAAAATCAAGCCGCGCATTACAAAGTAAATAAAAGTTAATCCGCCTGGATATCAGAACAAGGGTCGAGCCCTGACTCCCTGGCCGCCGGCGCGAAAGACATTGAATTAAGCGGCTGAGGGCTGGGGGCTGACTCACCGTTCGTCGGGAGGGCGAGTGAAAGGGGACAGTGTGGGTCTGAGTGGCGCGTAAGTGATCTCATAACGTTCAATAAGCAGATGGTGTGGCCCCGGTGACCTTGGGATACAAAGGATATCATTTACCATTTACTCTTCTCCATACACACAAACACACACGCACTCGAGCCTATAGTGCACGCACGCAGTGACTCAAGTACGCTTGAATGCAGGCAAGTACACATGCGCGCGCACACAACCGCATCCACACAGGCACACGCACACACCAACACCACAATATCACTACCTATTGATTTATACAAATTATCATCCCTGCAATCACACAGACTTTTTCAATCAATTACACCAAAACTTCGATTTGACGCCCCCTCTCCCCCTCCCCCCTTAATGACCCATATAGCCAACAGCCCGACCGCCGAGGCACCATAAACCCCACCTGTTACGATCACATACAAGCAATTCATCATTAGCAGATAGCAAATCTCGCACCTTACTGCTGTCGCCTCCGTTTCTACCCGGGTCATATAATAATAAAAGGGACGCCCTTTTCGCCCCTTTTATGACCTGCTTGTTAACGGCGCCGACGATGGCAACACGAACCCAAACAACACAATAGCAACAACATCAACACCACCTCCCCCCACCACAACACTCCTACACCAAGACCAAACACACCACCCCCGCTATCAACACACGGCACCACCACCAATACCACCACCATTAATACACCTACCACCACCACCACCAATAAAACAACAACAACAACATCCTCACATATAAAACCCCCCCCCCCCCTCCCCCCCCCCTTCCCCTACCACCCACGCGACCCTCATAACCGACAGCCCCTGCATAGCTCACCCTATTCGCACCCCCATCACTTCTCCCCGTTCCTCCGGCTCGCCCTTACATAAAACCACGTGTTACTGTGTTGCCACCTTCAGCGGGTAGCGGTGGCGGTGGCGGTGGCGGGTGGCGGGTGGCGGGTGGCGGTTGGCGGCGGCAAGAGATGGATGCGGCGGCGAGGGGATGAGGGGATGAGGGTATGTGGGTGTGAGAGGATCATTTTGCCTCATTATCTGCCTCTGTCGGCATCCGGCATCGTGTGATTGTTTTTTTTCTACTTTTGACTGTATAGTATTTTGTTATAGAGTTATCTTTACAAATAGACCAATAACCCTAGTCTTTGTTATATAGTTATATTTACACGTAGACCTATAACCCTATACATAACATGAGAGGAAGGGAAGGAGGGAGGGAGGGGAGGAAGGAAAAAGGAGGAGAGCGGGAGGGAGGGAGGGAGGGAGGGAGGAGGGAGGAGGGAGGGGAGGGAGGAGGGAGGGAGGGAGAGAAATGAAGAGAGAGAGAGAGAAGAGAGAGAGAGAGAGAGAGAGAGAGAGAGAGAGAGAGAGAGAGAGAGAGAGAGAGAGAGAGAGAGAGAGAGAGAGAGAGAGAGAGAGAGAGAGAGAGAGAGAGAGAGAGAGAGAGAGAGAGAGAGAGAGAGAGAGAGAGAGAGAGAGAGAGAGAGAGAGAGAGAAGGGAAGACCAGACAGCCAACAAGGTCAGACAGGACCAAAGTACTAATGTGATCTCGTCACGCTGGTACCTTAATGACCCGCAGCATAATAGTGCTATTCCACAGACTCACCTAAGGCCGACCACTCCCTATATTAGGTTACGATAACCATCCGCAAGGGCCATATAGGCGACCACATAAAGCACACAATTCATAATTAATGCTTAATTTCACACTATCATGACCACAACGCGCCGAGTCCTACCTCCCTTCAGGCACGCAACGAAGGCTCCGAGGCTGTAATGAATTCACTGCACTCCCGTGACTTCATTTGCTTGTCTTTCTGTGTTTGTCTGTCTATCTGTCTGTGTTTGCCTGTGTCTGTCTGTCTGCGTCTCTGCCTGTCTGCATGTCTGTCTGTGTCTTTGCTGTCTCTCTGTCTGTCTGTCTGTCTGTCTGTACTGTCTGTCTGTCTGTCTGTCTGCGTCTGCCGTCTGTCTGTCTGTGTCTGTGTCTGCCTGCCGGTCTCTGTCTGTGTCTGTCAGCCTGTCTGTTTATCTATCTATCTATCTGTCTATATATCTACCTACTTACCTATTTGTCTATCTAATTATCTACTCCTCTATCCACCATCTATTTTTTTCCCATTCCGCAGCAAATTCCGCCAAACGACAAGAACTAATTAGCGAGTTTATTAGACCTCAAAGTGCCTCCAATTAAATTCGACTCGAAGACGCCCATTAATTCCCTTAGATCTCCGACGATTTCCGCGCGCAATCCCCCACTAATTTACGTCGGATGTCACTCATATCGCCACGGTGACATCAGACTCCAGGGAAAAGATTGGCATTAGCATTACGGTCTCTTGCCAACCTATGAACAAACCGACTTTACGTGCGAGCGTGTAGAAGGAGAGTTCGATAACAACCGTGCCCCATATACGTATTCAAAACAAACAAACAGACAATAAATATGATGAAAAATTAACGATCCTAAGCCTCCCCCCCGCCCTTCAAAATCCCACCCACACGCCCCCATTCCGTCCTTCCAGAGGCGCTTCCCGACCCACCGCGGCGACCATCTGGATCAGCTTCCCCGTGTAACGATTACCAATTATGTGGCTCGTCTTCCCCCCACTTGATCTCCTCCGCCGCAGCGCCTTTTCGAGCCTGGGATATGAGAGGGTATTGTGGGGACTCGGGCAACAGGTCCCCGGTGGCAGGTCGTATTTGCAGGGCGCTTACAGGACGTCGGGGGGAAAAAAACGGAGTCAGGGGGGCGTGTATGTGCCGCGTGCAGGACCGAAAGAAAAGGAAAAAGAAAAAAACCCTGGGAGTTTTCTCGACTCTCTCCGGTTAGCGTTCATTAAAGTTGTCCGGAGTTTGTGACGCCGGGCCGGAATGTGTTCTTCCGCGCGCGTGTGATAAAAAAAGCAGGAAATCAGGATGCCATAAAGCTGGCGGAAGCGTGTTAATGCGCGCTGGTCCTCGGAGGTCCCCCTCGCAGTCCCCGCCCAAATACCTCCTAAACCGAAGGGCAGATGCTCCTCAAGCCCCGGCCTTCCGAACCTCGACGCCCTCTCCCTCCCTCGCGCCCTCCCGACCTCCCTCCCGACCCATTAACCACGTCACCGGGACAGGGCCGTGGGTGTGACGTGACGCGAGGGTGACAAGCCCATTACGATGTCCCGTGTCACGGACTCCGCCCAAACAAGCAGATCACCTTAACGACGTGAACGAAGGCCTTAGGCCTAGGCCGCGCGAGACCCCTCCCTCACGCCAGGCCCTAACGCAACCCGCCCCAGAGCCCAGCACGCAAAGTAAATAAAAAGGCACGAGAGAAAAAAAAAGCCTCGGTTACAATAGACGTGACGGGAGGCCGGGGATCGTAATTACCGGCGCTCCGGCATCTTGACATCGACGTCCGAAGTCGCCGGATCATCCGCGATATGAATTCCGGGTCACGCACTCCGCTCGCATTCTTTCCCGAGACAGCCACCTCAAGGAGCCCTCGGGGGTGGAGGCGCTGGGCCCCGATGCCCCTCGGAGGACGGACGGACGCGTCGGGGGAAGGGAGAGAATGGAAGTATGGACAGAAAATGCAAGAGAGCGAAGAAGAAAGAGAAGAACGGGAAAGGGAAAGACGGGAGAGCGGAGAGGGAGAGAGAGAGAGAGAGAGAGAGAGAGAGAGAGAGAGAGAGAGAGAGAGAGAGAGAGGGAGATAGAAATGATGAGGGAGAGAGAGAGAGAGAGAGAGAGAGATAGAGGGAGAGAGAGAGAGAGAAGCGGGAGAGAGAGAGGAATAGAGAGAGAGAGAGAGGGAGAGGAGGAGAGGGAGAGAGAGTGAGGGTGTGAGAGAGAACGATGTGAGAGAGGAGAGAGAGAGAGAGAGAGAGAGAGAGACAGAGAGAGAGAGAGAGAGAGAGAGAGAGAGAGAGAGAGAGAGAGAGAGAGACAGACAGACAGACAGACAGACAGACAGACAGACAGACAGACAGACAGACAGACAGACAGAAGACAGACAGGACAGACAGAGACAGAAAAGAAACAGACAAAGAGAGTCTACAAACAGTCTAAACAGACAGACAAGGCACACACCAAACGATAACAAAAGGAGAGTTTCCAAAGTTAATACAGAAGATCAGTCGAGTTTGAGATTATAAGCAAACATGGTGAAAGGGATTTGAGAAAGAAAGCTCCAGATATGGTGAGGATTGAGTGGGAGAGGATAGAGAGGATGAGAATGGAGGGAAGAGAGAGGGAGAGGATGAGAGAGGCAAGAGGAGAGAGAGGGAGAGATGGGAGGATGAGGAGAGAGGGAGAGAGGGAGAGGATGGAGGGGAAGAGAGAGGGAAGGATGGAAGAGGATGGACAAAAAAGAGAGGGAGAGGGGAGGAAAGGGAAGAGAGGGGGAGGCGAGACGAGAGGAGAAGGGGAGTGGGGGGAGGATGGATACGGAAAAAAGGGGGAGGGGAAGGGAGGGGAGAGAAGGGCGATGGGAGAGTACACTGAGGATAGGAGGAGGGAGAGGAAGGGAGGGAAGAGAGACACGGAGAAAAAAAACGGAAAGGA